GTCAAGGATGGCTCTGTTTTTAAGATTGCCTTTGTTTATTTGAGGAAAGTAAAAAATAATACAACATATTTGAGAAATAAATTGTAGACAAAAACATATTTGAGCCCATATATCAGCCCTCATAGGAGTTTTGGAACCATAAAGAGTTCAGATGAAAAGTGGGTTCAGGGAAAGATTGTGAACAAGACAGTTTAAGTCATACAAGAATTATCTTTTAACCTTTTTTCACCTTTTTAATGACTTTGCTTTGGAAAAATTGATTTTAATTTTAACCAGATTTATGATTGTTTGCTAGTCTGAGTGAAGGCATGACCTGAATGCAGTGATGCTGTTCTAAAACAATTCAAATTTTAACATTTTTCCTGGAAGTACTACAGCTAGCTGCTACACCTAAGTTACCATATAATAAACTGTAAATAATTATAAATGTAAAAATTAATGATGATTAACTATGTTTCTAAAAATAGTTAATATTATTATTATTATTATTATTATTATGGCAGCAGTCCACTTTGATTTTGTCCAGGCACATTCAAACCATTCAACCTTTTGGAAAAAATATTGTAAGTGTATTTTTTTTCAACTAAGGTTGAATAAAAGGCTCTTTACATTAGGTATCACTGCTTCATAATTTTTAAAGAAACACACCAGAACATATCTTAAAAAAACAGATACAGTGGATTTACTTAAAAAATAATATCAGCTGGTTCCGATCAACTGAACTGAGTTACTTTGTAAAGTAAAATGTGTTACCTTTACTCAGTTTAACAAAGTAAGCAAATTTCACCCCAACAGCTTTTTGAATGAATGATCCCCTGTACCTATCCACTATACCTACATACTCTGGTACCTATGTTTCCCAGTACCTATGATCCCCTGTACCTATGGTCTCCGGTACAACGCCTGCACTGTTTTTCAGTACATTTCTCCATTTGTGTTAAAAGAAATGTGAAGCGGGAGCCAAGCGTCTTTCGTGACTTTCATTATTGATTCCGTGACAACATAAGTACTGGAAAATATAGGTATGACACCAAAACCAACACTTCAAAGATAAATGTAAATTGAATATATGGCATTTAAAACACATACCCACATCCATATACATGGTTGTTACCATTAGTTCATGACCACACATTGCTTTAAATGTAAACAAACAAAACACCAATAATTGTAAAAATGGCATACAGTGATATGAGACAGAGTTGTTTATTTTATTATTATTTTTTACTAATAAATCAGATTTTTACTAATTGTGCTTTATTTAATTGACAATGAAACCTCAGGTGTTATATCACACTATTAAAATATTAAATATAAGACAGACCTTTATTGTCATTGTACAGAGCACAATGAAATTACAGTTCAGAACACCCATTCACAAGAAGACAGAACATAACAAACACACAAACAATYAACAAATATGTTAATTAATGAAATAGGTTTGCTCTTTCTTCATTTTAATTTTATCTGTTTACTTATAATTTGTATTCTGGCTCCGTACTAGCAGCCACTTTTATGACAACTCGAGGTACTTTATTGTAAAATATACTTAAATTATACAGTGGCTGGTATGATAAACTGCTCATTGTAAAGTAACAGAGTCCGAAACTAGTAAATAATTAGCTGGTTATTAGCCTACTTAGCATCATCCGTAGTAGAAACACCTAAATTAATCGATTAGTTAACGCAAATGGCGCAAAACTCCCTCCATACTTCATCCATTTCATTACCCTAAGAAAAAATAACCAACGGCTCAGCGTTCTTCCCGTCCTGTACCATGTGTGGGCTGAAATATGGGTAAAGGTCATCTTTGAATGCACAGCCTTTGAATGTGTAGATATGAGACTGGGTTTTCACATCATAGAAAGAGACCAGACCTTCCTCATAATCCACAAACACCCCCACCCTCTCAGGCTTCTGTTCTATGAAAAGGCCAACAGGTGGCTCAGTCATGGCAGCATACTTCTCCTCTTCATAATGAACCAAAACCCAGTAGCCTTCATCTGGACTCACTGTGAGTTTCCCCTTGCGGTTGGCTTCGCCTCTCACCACACCCAGATCCCACCCGGTCTTGTTCCCGACCTCCATCTCCCAGTAGGACCTCCCAGAGTTCAAGCAGTTGATCCCCAAGACACTGCCAAACCGATCGAACCTCTCAGGAGAATCAGCTACTTCCTGGTTCTGTCCTCCATCTCTTACTTCCTTCTCATCCTTAGAAAGTACAAGGCGCTGGTGTGCGGTGTTTGGATCCATCTTTACATCCACTGTCGGTGTTAAAGGAAAGCAGTTTATAAGCTGAACTTTTAACAGAGACTGTAATATCAAGGGGAAATAAAAAGTAACAATCTACCTGTAAATTTTGGGAGTCTTTTAAGTTCTGCGGAAGATAAAAAGATAAGAGATCAACATTTTAATCCTTGACTTTTCTGCCCTGAAATTAATGTAACTCTCACCAATGGAGGCCAGCTTCTCCAGCTCCTGTTGAATTTTGTCAATCATGTTGGTTGTGGTTTCTCTCATAATGCCAAAAGACAGCGACGTGTCAAGTTTCATATCTGCCCAGTCGTTCATTTTATCCTGGAGGGAAAGTGACGGGTGCTTCTGAAAAAAAAAAAAAAAAAAAAAAAGGTAAAGGGAATAAACCAACAGATAGACAATGCAGATAAAAATAATACTCTGCATCATCGGTTTTTGTTATAGATGTATAAAAAAACAAAACAGATAAGTTTTGAGAATATATTACAATTATTTTTCTTACTTGGAGGAAAAGGATGTGATCCTCAAGCACAGATATGTCATCCAGTTCAGAGAAGGTTCTCTCAAGTTGGGTGATTTCAGCTTCCAACTCATCTTTTAATCCTCTAGCTTCTTTTTCCAGGAGCTTTCTCCTGTCTTCTAGAGGCTTCAGCACACTGGCCTGGGCTTCCTCCAAAATGGCCTGAATSGCTGTAAACACTGCCTCAATGTCCCACCACTCATTATCAAGCTGCTCCTGAAAATGCATAAAAAACTAATCATTAAACTGTCATGTGGCATATTTTGACCCTGTTTTCAGTGGTGGGCATGGTTCCACTAAATTTGGTTTTGCCAACTTTAAGTCCACTAACTAACAAACTAACATCAGGTTTATGTCAGTCCCACCAGTCTGCAGCTCGAAGGAGACAAAGACACAGATTRAGTGACAGTCATCTTTGCAATTAGCCGTTACTGTTAGCTTCTGCTAATTTTTACTTGCTTAACTATTTTGCATTTGTGAAGCTATATTTTAGTTAGCAGAATACGAGTTAGYGAAGCTAACATTTTGGTTAGCTGTGCTCACCATTGCCTGTCTTACATACTGAAGTGTGACTTGATCAAATATAATCCACTCAAATTTTCTCTTTAAACCTTGTTAATACAATTATTCAAAGTTTGTTATTGTTGTTGTTAACTTTGACAGACTGGTCTGGTTGGATTTTCACTATCTTCTTACCTTGCAACTCTTCAGAGCTGTATTGATCTCGTCCATCTTTTTTTGTCTCGTTGTAATTTTCTGTTGCAACTCCATCTTTGTGTTTTCAAGATGAGCCTGAAGACGACAAAAAAAAGCAAACATTGAAATATTCTCTTTGGTTCCTGCAAAGACTGAATGTTTCAACTAAAGATGGTCATTTTTATTGTCCTGTCTTTGCATTTGTTTAACAAACTGAATACTGCACCTTCTTCTTGTTCCACTCCTCTTCAGTAGACACAACATCCTCCTGACCTTCCATGCACTGAACACAAATGCACCTCTGCTGCTTCCTGCTGTACAGCTCAAGAGGGCGTCCATGTTTCAGACAGGCTCTTGCGTCCAGGTTTTCCACAGGTTCCACCAACTTGTGACCGTTAAACTTTGCAGCTGTATAATGGCTCTCCAGATGGGTTGAACAATACGAGGCAGTACACATAAGGCAGGACTTCTTAGCCTTTAGTTTTGGTTTGATGCAAACTTCACACGCTACCTCCCCGGCCGCTCCAGTGTACATGTCAGCAATTTTCATCTGTGTTTTCGTCTGTTGGACGATGTCTCGCAGCACAATATTTGTATCAGGGGTTCTGCTCAAATGCGTTTTGCAAAGAGGACACACGYTATTCGTATTTATGCTGACGTCTAGGCATTTCATACAAAAGGAGTGACCGCAAGAAGTAGTGACGGGATCGGTAAATGTTTCTATACAGATGGAGCAGGTCAGATGCTTCTSGATGGAAAGGTCACTGGGTGGTTCAGAGGTGGAGGCCATGTCTGCTTGAAAACAAAGGTGACTTAGAAAACATCAGAGGTGCATTAATGTCCCTTAAAAGAGACTGAAAATAAAATAAACTACTYGTGTTCATGCATTATTGTYACTTAGACAATTTTTTAAAATGTTATTGGCGTGCAAAAGTTTGGATACAGTTATAGAGAGGTATATTGTTCCCATACATTTGTCTGGCCCAGTTCTGTCCCACACAATGTGCCAGTTGTGGCATTGAAAAATTTAGGCCACATAAACCAAATCACAACTGGGCCAGTATCACTAAATACATTGCATCTGAAAAAATATACATTTCTTTGAGCTTTGAATGTCAACAATACTTGTGCCCAGCTGTTCAACATCTATACATTTACTGATGTTTCTTTGCAATGATTGTTTATTCTTCTTACTGTAGCCTCAATAAATAAATGTTATTCAACGTGTCAAATGACATCATAGTTTCCTTATCACTGACATGAACTGAAAACAGAACTTACGAAAAAGTATTATTGGGGTGTCCTTKTTTTTGCATATACAGTGGGGAAAATAAGTATTTAGTCAGTCACCAATTGTGCAAGTTCTTCCACTTAAAAAGATGAGAGAGGCCTGTAATTGACATCATAGGTAGACCTCAACTATGAGAGACAAAATGTGAAAAAAAAATTGAGAAAATCATTTTATCTGACTTTTAAATAATTTTT